TCGTCAACATGAACCTATATACCTCAAGTATGAAATTCCAGTAGTTAATTAGTAGTGTCAGAAACCTAGAAACCTTTTTCATAAACATAGGTCAAAGATCATAATAATACTGATTGTAATAAACAAGACTTATTCTGATGTGAGAAAGTAAATTTAATACAATGATATTCATCACAGCTCATACAAAACACCATGTTCTTCTATAAATTACTGATTAAATATGATACTGACCCACAGAAAGTAACAAAACCTATAATCATGATTACTTGTTACTGATAGAAGATGGTCCTGTCCCCACAGAAAGTAACAAAACCTATAATCATGATTACTTGTTACTGATAGAAGATGGTCCTGTCTCCACAGAAAGTAACAAAACCTATAATCATGATTACTTGTTACTGATAGAAGATGGTCCTGTCCCCACAAAAAGTAACAAAACCTATGATCCTGATTACCTGTCTTTGATTGAAGATGATACTGTCCCCACAGTAGGAACAGATAATATTTCTGTATACACATCCCTTTTGATGGTCCTCCATGGTCTGTTTACTGATACACTCAGTACATCCATTCCTCATATAGACACACTGTATAGGTTTGTATTCACATTTCGTCTGATGCTCCTGTTCAAAGGAAAACATTCAACAAGTGTTTTCTTTCATATATTTTGTCAACAATCAATTACCCTAGCCAATATCTTGACACTCAATGTTATGGAAGCAATCAAAACAGTGCTGTATGCTTTGATGATCAATCAAAACATACAAGTTCAAAAGAGATGGGTTTAAAACTCAAAGAAATTTCTGAACAAATCAAAATATTGAAAAGAACAAGAGGCCCAGAGGGCCTGTATGGCTCATCTGGATATTTATGACCAACATTACTACATCTGTGCATATGTTCCACGTTTAACACATTTGACCCATGTGACCTTGACAATGGGTCAAGGTCATTTCTTTTACTTTCTTGGACCTCAAAAAAGGAAGATACTGGCTAAATATAATGATTCTAGGCTTTTCGATATTTCAGAAGAAATTGTTTAAACACATTTGACCTCTGTGACCTTGAAGATTGGTCAAGGTAATTTCTTTTAGCAAACTTTGTAGGACACCATAAGAGGAACATAGTAGCCTTATACCATGATTCTAGGCTTTCCAGTATTTTGAAAAAAGTCACTTAAATTTTTTAACACATTTGACCTCTGTGACCTTGAATATGGGTCAAGGTTATTTTTTCGCAAACTTTGTTGGGCTTCATCAAAGGAACTATCCAGCCATATATAATGATTCCAGGCTTTCCAGTATTTTGGAAGAAGTCGTTTAAATGTTTTAACACATTTGACATCTGTGACCTTGAAGATTGGTCAAGGTAATTTCTTTTAGCAAACTTTGTAGGACACCATAAGAGGAACATAGTAGCCTTATACCATGATTCTAGGCTTTCCAGTATTTTGGAAGAAGTCGTTTAAATGTTTTAACACATTTGACCTCTGTGACCTTGAATATGGGTCAAGGACATTTCTTTCTGCAAACTTTGTTGGGCTTCATCAAAGGAACCATCCAGCCATATATAATGATTCTAGGCTTTCTGGTATTTTGGGAGAAGTCATTTAAATGTTTTAACACATTTAACCTCTGTAATCTTGAATATGGGTCAAAGTAATTTTGTTTGCAAACTTTGTTGGGCTTCATCAAAGGAACCTTCCAGCCATCTATAACCATTCTAAACCTTCTGGTATTGTGGAAGAATTCGTTTAAAGGTTTTAAGATATTTGACCTCTGTGACCTTGAATATGGGTCGAGGTCATTTCTTTTTGCAAACTTTGTTGGGCTTCATCAAAGGAACCTTCCAGCCAAATATAATGATTCTAGGCATTCTGGTATTTTGGAAGAAGTTGTTTAAATGTTTTAACACATTTGACCTCTGTTACCTTGAATGGGTCAAGGTTACTTTTTTTTGCAAACTTTGTTGGGCTTCATCAAAGGAACCTTCCAGCCATATATAATGATTCTAGGCCTTCTGCTTTTTTGAAAGAAGTCGTTTAAAGGTTTTAACACATTTGACCTCTGTGACCTTGGATATAGGTCAAGGTCATTTCTTTTTGCAAACTTTCTTGGGCTTCATTAATCGAACCTTTCAGAAAAATATAATGATTCTAGCCCTTCTGGTATTTTGGAAGAAGTTGTTTAAAAGGTTTCAAAAATGTAACAACACTTGTGCAGGACAGTGTGTAAAACATCTGTACCAAGTTTGAACATGATCCACCCAGTGGTTCTTGAGAGGAAGTCCAAAATGTCTTAGCCAAGCAGAGGCCAGGGTTGCACATTTATATAAAGCAAACCATGTTTTCATTTACAAGTTGAAATATAGCTTAGTAGATACATGTATAGCTAATGTATACAAAAAATCAGATCAATTTCAAGTCTATCCACAATCTTTTCCTTGCCTTATACAATAAGGTATCCAACTAAAAAAACTCACATAAAACAATGTGAAAAAATCTTGTGGTACTTCTGAGACAGGAATATATATGTATCAAGGCTGAGAAATATAGTGTTACCATAGGTATTGAACCATATTATACATGTAGCTCAGAACATAGAAGGTTCAGCAAGTAATAAGATCCAGGTTTGATGAAAGATCTGGCTACACATTTTTTCTCGCCTATATGGTTGTCATAAACACACAACATGTCTTTATTGAAGATTAATATATAACATATATCAGAAAGGCTAATTTTGGACCAGTTATTTTTATTCTCACAAACTTTGCAGTCCTTTCCCTAAAGATCATCTATATGAAGTTACACTTTTGGTTCAGGACAACAAGATTTGCTAAGATTTAACAAATTCTACCCATTTCTGCCCCTTGTATATGCCCCCATTGAGGCCACACCTTTTTCTATTGTAAACTTAAAGAAACTTAACTTAATTTTACTCCTTTTTTACCCCCACCTGGGGCCCCTATTGCAGCCATTACTGTTTTTGCCCCCAAACTAGAAGTGTCTTATTACACAGATGCTTTGTGCTTAGTGTAGTTGTAACCCGAAAACATGGCCAATGCCATTAGATCCCATTTTCAAAAAAAATCTAATTGACCCCTTTTTGCCCCCCCCCCCCCATGTGGCCAAAGAACCCCTCAGACACTTTTTTCAACTCAAAGTCACATGTTCTTCACTAGGGGACCCTATATACTAAATTTGGTTGAAATCCCTCAACTTTGAATTTTGACCCCTTTTTAGTGCCCCCTGGAGGGCCTGTCTATGACCCAATATTTTTTTCATTCAAAAACCTTGAAGACCTTACCATAGGGACCCTAAATATCAAATATGAACTTAATCTGACTGTTGGGTTACGAGAAGAAGATTTTTAAAGATTTACCTAATTTTACCTCCATTCCACCCCTCCCACCCCTCCACCCCTACCCCCGGCCAAACCCTTTTTCCACAAACTTGAAGCGGCTTCCCATGGGGATGCTTTGTGCCAAGTTTGGTCAAAATCCATTCAGTGGTTCTTGAGAAGAAGTCATTTAAAGAAGGTTTTTACATATGTCCCCTTTTACACCCCTTATGGGCCCCAAAGGGGACATAATCACTTTTTTCAACATAATTTCATATGTCTTCACTAAGGGATGCTTTCTACCAAATTTGGTTGAAATCGGTTAAAGATGAATTTTTTACCCTTTTGAGAGCCCCCTAGTGGGGCTGTTTTTGACCCGGTTTTTTTTCATTCACAAAACTTGTAGACCTTGCCATAGGGACATTAAATATCAAATATAAACTTAATCTGACTGTTGGTTCATGAGAAGAAGATTTTTAAAGAATTACCTAATTTTACCCCCTTTTTCCCCCTCCTGGGGCCCATATTGGGGTCACGCCCTTTCGCTTCACAAATTTGAAGCGGCTTCCCATGGGGATGCTTTGTGCCAAATTTGGTCAAAATCCATTCTTGAAAAGAAGTCGAATATGTGAAAAGTTAACGATGCACGACTGACGACGACAGACATATCATGATGGCCTTCAGCTCAGGTGACCTAAAAACCAAAAGGATAAAAATGGAAGTGGGGTGGGGGACAATGATTATAACAAGAGAACAACAGTGTGGAACAATACACTTCTGTCCCCTGCAACAGAAATCAAATGCTTGATGATAAATCAAAGCAAATAAAGTTTTGAAGAGATGCTAAATCTAAAATCAAAATGCTGAAAAAAAAACAAAAAAAAACAAAGGCCAGTCTCTCTTTGGATCATTGTTTTATCAAAATACTGTTCATGAAAACATAACTTACCAACTTTCAAAGAAATTGGTAAAAGGAAATGAGAGAGGTGATATTCAGACAAGATAAACTTTATGAAAAAAAAAACAAAGGGACTTAACTCTTCCAAAAATTGTAAATTCACAATGCCATTCAGGAAAACACATTTTCTTTTATGTAATTGTTATGAAGTTCACCAAGGTTCAGAGAAAAATTATCTAGAGTTTGTTATATCAAAAAGAATACAAATATGAAAATGGTGATAAGTAAAAATGTCAAGAGGGAAACCAGTGCTATCTGTTTTTATGATGAAATATTTAAAACACACGTTTTAAAGAAAAAAGTGGACAACCGTTATTCACAAGAGTTTCAAGATAAGATACAAATGTTTAAAAAAGACAACATCTTTCCAAAACTGTAAAATTACAATGTGAATATGGAAAGCATGTTATGGTTATAAAGCCAAGAACTAAGGAAAGAGATCCCTACACAAATACAAAATGTGGAAAAAACCAAAGGCGGCATACCTCAAGTCAGGTGACCTATAGTATACCTCCTTTAAAAATTGTTGAATCAAACTGCTGTGTTGGGAAAACACCAGTTCATGTCAAGGTGATAAAACATTTTTCACAATGAGGAACCAATGTGCTTTTAATAGATAATCAAGTGACCTACGTCCAACCTATGAGAAAAATTAAAAAAAAAAAAAAAAAGAATAATGAGCACTAGGCTGACATAAATGATACCTCCAGTTGTTTCCACTGCATTTCTGCTGGACACCCTTGATCCTTGTTAGTACAATATACAAGAAGGGCTCTTATCTCCCGTCGTGCACTTGGGTCACGAAATATCTGAAAGAAAGGAAGTAAATATACCTACTCTTTACATTTCTAAAGGTGCTGTACACACAACATAAATGGCTGCATGCTTTGGAAAACATGCTCTGCTATATGCTCCAGAAGAATTGCAGAAAGTTCACCATGCCTGTTATTTAGTTTTTTTATTTGGTACAGACTTACTCCAGTAATAATATAACTCAATTGTAATACAACTCAGTCAAAGAATTTCTGTTCTACACTAGCAGCATACTACAGAAACAGTGCTTATAAGTACTCAGTTATATGTGTCATCTGAACTGGTTTTACCATCCAAAAAGATGGACATGACCACACTGTAGCTTTATCTTGACCTAAATAGCTATTGATCTCAAAATGTTCAGATCTAACATGATAATTTCGAACCAATTTTGACATATCAACAAATATCAACATTTAGTGAAATAAGAAGCCAACAACTAAAACTCAGTATGTACAACCAGAAACTGTCGGAAATTAAAGCGATCAAACATGATAAATGAGGACAAGACAATATCCACAGGAAGAATTAAAACTGTTTAATAGTTGACATGCGTCGGCAAGCTAGGTATGCCTTCCTCAGAACAGAGTAACTAATCAAAATACCAGACTTATATACTATGTCTCCCTAGCAACTCACACACACAGGGATTCTCAACCAAACAAATAACTAGGTACAGATTATCATTGATTGAACATCAGACTTTTCAAACTTTTTTTTTTTTTTTTAATGTTTTATCTTTTATTCACCAATCACAGAATCTACAACAACAGTTATCGTTTTCATGACCTTGACTTGTAAAATACATCAGGTTTTAAACCAGTCTTGTTGACATCTGGCAAGCTAATGTAATATTCATTGGGATACCAATGATGAACTCAAAAGCATCAAAAGCTGTCACTGTCATGAACTTAGTTGCAAAAACCGATAATCCTTCTTGTTCTGTTGTGTTTGGGCTTAACTTCCATCCTTTGATATATTTGTTGACATTTTTTAAATGTTTTGATTAATCTATTTAATAATATTTGTGATTCCTCTCTTGATAAATTTATACATATGTAACATTTTGTAACATGGTGTTCCAAGGAAAAGAGGCAAGTCTGTTCACAAATAGCAATTCCATTGAGAAATACACTTACTGAGTATGTATATAATATAGTAGTTATATTTAAAATTACATCAATCACAATGTCCACTAATCCAGCACTACATTATAAAGTTGTATATTCATGTCATGATCCTCTTTGATTTATTTTCGGTCTGCAGAATAGCCATCCTTTCACACAATAACATCCATCATATCTATAACACACAATTAATTTGGAAAATGCTTGATAGTGCTTTTCTTGTTCTGCCATTCTGTCCTGGAATTTGTACGATGAAGCAGATTAAATGCCAGCACATTTGTCCATACTTCTATGACTTTTTGAAGTTCTCGAACTCTGAATCAAAGTCCTTATCACTCAAGTTCAACATAAGGTTTCCAGCATTCAAGTATACTCTGTTCTATGAAGCAGAGACGGTTCTGTTCTTAGTTGGTGGAGCCATTTGTCTGGTTAATTCTGATAACGAACAAGACTCTAGCCTGCTAAATAGTTCACTGATCTGGCGTTGGTGCAGCATCTTAGCGGGACAAGTGGCGTTTAGCCACACCAGATTGAGCAATTACAGGTCTGCAATGCCCTTAGATCTTCGGGGTCGCACGCACTACACTGAAGGAATCAACATGCTCTTATCCTTGCCCGAAAGGGTTGGGTAACCTGTTGAACCTCCTTCGTGCTAGGGATTGGGGCTTGTAATTCTTCCCCATGAACGAGGAATTCCCAGTAAGTGCGAGTCATAAGCTCACGTTGATTACATCCCTGCCCTTTGTGCACACGATCCCTCGTTTACACAGCAAGTGTATGGAATCCACACCATGCCAAGGACATTGATATTATTGAAAACGTCCAAAGGAGGGCTACAAAGTTAATACCTGGGTTCAAAAATTTATCTTATAAAGAATGTCTGGAAAGACTTGATCTTCCAACTCAGGAACAGCAAAGGATGAGAGGAGACATGATAAACACTTTTAAAGTTATTAACAATATATATGATAAGAGAGCTACTGAAAATTTATTTGAGATGTGTACCACAACCACAACAAGAGGGCATTCTCAAAAACTGTATAAAAAGCATTCGCGATTAGACAATAGAAAACATTTCTTTAGTCAAAAAACTGTAAATTTGTGGAACAGCTTGTCCCAGCACGTTATAAATGCTACTACAGTCAGACAGTTCAAACTTTTATTTGATGAACATTATAAAATTAATAAAAATATTAGCGTTTAATGAATTCACGGATGTAATATTAACACAATTTTTTCATGAATTGTTAAATACTGACAAAGAGGCTAGCAAGCCTGCATCCATCATGTATGGTAATAAATCATAATAAATGTAATTAGGCATGTCAACATAGCAGCCCATCTCTTGCGATTCGCTGCACCTCCACAGGTTTTCCAAATCATGACCTTCCATAAGCCAAATATATCTACTCTAATTGCGGTAAATGGAGGCTTCGCATTAATCTTCTGACAGGTTTTCTATCTTCTGGTGTATGAATGGACCTCTAAGTTTCCTACATACCACACACTTTCTTATCATGAAAGAGACAGGCCTCTTAGCTCCAACTAGCCAGAATCTATAAGAACACCGAGACTTTTTTTAGAAGCATACAAGTAAATATACAACTAGATTCTCCAAAGAATTTAAAGATGACTTGACAAAAATTCTTGAAACCTCATAACCATTCAAATGCTGCACCGTGTAAGAAATCTAAAAGATAATTGTTTTACAATCCTAGCTAATTCCATCAGAAAACACTTCTCCGAGAAGCATCTTCCCGATGAGTGACCATGGTGCCAAGAAACCCTAAGATCATATTCAGCAATCAGAGCCAACAGCAATCTCCATCTCAAGAAAGGTCTATGTACATCAGGTGCAGAAAACTAAGGTCTCGGGATCTGTCATCTTCTCTAGCTTCCAGCAATATCATCTCAAATGCAGGTATTGCAGTAGGAGAAGTGGGTGGAGACACAAACGGAGATGCCTCAGATGACAGCATTGAATGTTTTTCAATAAAACCATTACATTACTATTGAACTGGCAAACTGCGAACATAATGCATGTCCTTTCCTCAGAAATCTCCCAGATTTAAGACTCTCATCTTCCGACTCCAAATATGATGCCTTTGCATCAGGTCAGCATCATATTCTGCCTTAACTGTCCTTTTTAGCTTAAGCTAAGCAACCAACTTCCTCTAAGGCTGCCATCTTCTTTTGAAGAACTGCCATTTCTTGGAAAACTTTGACCTTGCTCAAGCAGCCTCAGCCTTAGGCCTCTCTTTAGAAGCTGTGCTACTCTTAGTTTTCTGGCTAATAAATCCTTCTGCCAGGATTGTTAAAAATCAGTCATGTACTTTTCCTCAGTATGAAGATACCTACCAAGTAGCTTCCTATACGTTCCTGCCCTCTTGAACACTAACAGTCATTAAAACATCCATTATTGCTGAAGTCGTGAGATTCCCTATTTTCTCTATGTTCCTTATGTTTCCCTAAACTCTCCATAGTTCTTGTCCTCTGTAAATATCCTGGGTACTCTTTTAGCAAGGCTATATACTTTATTCCAACACTGTACGCTTTGTGAATCCCTGAAGTGTCACTTTATGTATAATTTTAACAGTATCAAAATCAGCAATGTTTTTTGTATGTCATAGCTAAATGAATGTATCTCTTTAACATAATGTTCACTGGACTTGACATACAGGGCATAGACCCTAAATCTTTGCACACTTTTCCTTGGTTTATCCAATTGGTTGTCAGGTTTTATTCTTCAAATTGTGTGGCCATTTTTAAGGTTGTGTACCCTATTTTCACTATTCTGCTATACATACGAGAAAAATTGCAATGCTTGTGACGGAAATTTGGATTAGAAACAGACAACTTAAATGTTTATCACAAATAACCAGAAACTGTCTGAAATCATTGTGTATTTAGCTAATGATCAAACATTAAATGCAATTTTTTTTCATGGAAAATAATTGACCATTTGAACTGATTTTATTTTTTTAACCCTGAAAATGCACAAGGATCAAAATAGATTTTAAAAGAATAAAAGACCACAAATACAAACATCTTCTCTGTCCTACAAACATGCATAGATTTATCCATATGCTTAGGCATAAAGAAGGCCATCTTCAGACCCCAATTTCTGAAACTAAAGACACTAAAATCCTGATTAAATGACACTCAAAAAATTAATCGTTTTTGAAAGAATGTGTACAAAATCTTACACAAGTAATTTTCAAACCTTTTAGCATTCTGCAACAAAATTATAATGAATTTGTTTTCCCATAACTGTTTGTGTCATGATTTACCTGCATATCTAATTGATTGTGGCAGGTCTTTTATTTTCTTACTGAAAATCCTGTAAAATCGACATGTTTTTGGCTTTGGTAGTATGCATTGCTCCTTTCTGACAAAAATAACCTATCTGAATCAAAGTAAACAAAAGGCCTAACAGGCTGGAATCGCTCACCTGTTCAGCAGCTTAAAAAGAATTTTTATGTCAATTTCTGAAAACTAGAAAGTTGATTTCCCAGGCATGCTATTACTTTAATACCATGACTCAGGAACTAGTGGTGATTGAAAGAACCCTTTGACCTTGAAAGTGGTTCAAGATCGCTCATTTGAACAAACTTTGTAGTCCTTCATGCTACATACCTCATTCTACATGGCTAATATCAGCACCAAAGGCCTATTAGTTACCGAGATGAAATAATTTCAAGATTTTAAATAATTTAACCCCTATGACCTTGAAAGCAAATAAGTCATTCAATTGAACAAATTCTTTAACACTTCATCCCAGCATGCATATATTGTACCTGCAGAGTACTTGCACCAGAGCCATTATGATAATGAAAATTTATTTGAAGATTTAACATATTAGATTCCAGTGATATTGAATCTGAGTCAAGGTCATTCATTTGAACAAAATTGGTCCTTAATTATCCGAAGATTGGAACCTATACTTATTACTTATTCTAAAATAATACTTATCTAATGCATTTTAATTGAAAATTTTCATAATCTTATCCCAGAAATACATATAAATCAATTTCAAATATAATATCAAAACTAAATGAAATCACATGTCACATGGTCTATTGTCTCCTAGTTTTACTTGATAATTCTATACCTATATCCCAATCTCCATCTGAAAGAATAGTACATACAAATTCGGATGAGTCTCCTGTTATAATCTCATGTCAATGCCTCTCCATTATGTCTATCGTTTTAACGATTCGTGAACAACTACGTTTACCATTCAGATAAAGGTATATGATGACAACTTGATTGGGAAATGGCAGGAGTTAATTTACGTCATCAACTGCTGAAAGGAGTGGTTTGATTGGCTGAGAACATGTGAGAGACATTTCAAACAAAATTGTGCAGGTTTTAGATTTTGTTGAATTTCATTAATATTGCGATAACTTCTCTTTTAGACTAAAATTATTTTAGAATGTTTTAGTGCTTAAACTGGAATGATGAATGACCCTAACTGCAAGAGGTCACCATAAAACTTTGTATAAGGTGACTTAGTAATATGTCAAACAATATTTCATTATTAATTTAAGGATTCTGAAAGTATTCATCACAGCCCTTCCCATACCTACCTCATCCTTTTTAAGAACTGGCACACATGTTTCTTCATTTCCTGGACACCTTATAGGTGGTGGTTCATCAAATGCCTTGAATGCACAGATCTCACACATCCTGTGGCCACAAAGGGTTTGCACTGCATCTCTTAACACTTTCCTAAAAACAAATTTTTTTTCCTAAATATTAGAAAATGTAGTCTGTACCATACCAAGATATTTATGCCATATGTGATAGCTGCCTGATCAAATGTCTTCAAGGCACAAATCTGGTACCTCTCTTTAATACTTTCCTGAAAATTAGCAGCTTCACAAAATTTTCTGTTTACCGTAAATTTTCGCGGATAGTGCGCACTTTTTCATGCTAAAACTGTCGTGTCAAAAAGGGTGTGCGCATTATACGCAGGAACATGCCATTCTTGGGGTTATCATTCCCGAGTTATGTAACTGGATTTGGAAAATGTCAAAATGTGACTCAAACCAATGACCTTAACTGTTGATTTTTAAATGGACAGATCACACCATAATTTAATACTAAGTAGGTCTATTTCTGCTACATTAGTTTTGTTCACCATTACGAGATGGTACTGAGTTTTTTTTATTTTGAGTCCCTACCTGTCACATGTTTGTGACTGAAACAGATTGTCTTGAATGGTCATTTCCAATCATGTACAAGATGATTTGTAGATTGAAATAAAAATAACATTCTCATGGATTTAATTAATGATACTTTTTAATATGAATCACCAGAGGTTTGCAATAGCATTTTGCATCCTGGGTATATAGGTTGTTGGATTTTCTGTCAAACTCTAGAACAACCGCCATGTTTGTTTACGATATGAATGGCTTCGTGTAACATAAAAGAAATAATATTTGGCTTGTACATTTAACACATATTAACTTCCTAAAATTTTTAAATGTATAATGCATGAAAATATCTCCTCTGATACCTGTTATCATTGCAACGATTCAAGAAAACTTTTAAAGATTTTGGTACTAGTGTATTTGTTCTAATAGTATATCTTCATTGGTAAAGAAAGGGGTACGGGTGTGTTTACGTTAATTTGACTGAATTTTTTCTCAGTTGTCAGTTTGTGTTATGTAAATTACCTTATGGGTTCATAATAGTTTCTAGAGACCAACTGGATAATCAAAGGAAAATGTTTACAAACTGTTCTCATAATTGAAATTGTACAAAGTCATCTCTATATGTATGCAACATTTTAAACCTAACAAACATAAGTGTCAATGGAAAATACCACAGAAGTAGCTAAAAAGCTATCAAACACATGTTGGAAGCTTCCTTGTATATCATTTTAGGGCAGTTAAAACAGCTTCGAACTTCTGACATCACGAATGTGGGCTTCCAATATTGAGGCGTTTTTGTAGTTGTGTCAAAGGTTTGCATTTCAGATAAATCACAATCACACAATTAACTAAAATGTTCTTATTTTCTTGACTTTTTATACAATAAGTACTTTATAGCTAAATATAGCAAAAACATTACTTTGTACTTTAACCTTTGACCCATGGACCTGAAAAGCAAGCCCAACCAAACACTTTCCCCAAGAAAAGGATGAAATCTGAATGCAACTGGCCTCTCTTACAGAAGAAAAACAATTTTAAAGTATTAGCTTGATTTCCCATGTGGCCCCACTCCTGTCTCAGGGGACTGAGGCCCAACGTTTATACAAATTGTTTTCTCTTCACCTGGATTCTTCAGAGTTAATTATAATGGAGAAGTCATAGTTTTGATGGGATGTTAAGTTAATAAGTGTAATATCCTACCTGCACTTCAGACAGTTGAACTTTGGATCACGGCTCACAAAGATTGGATTTCCTGGAGGAGTCTGTTGCATAGAAACGGATGCTGAACTCATCGAACCGAGGGAAATTGCCATTTCTGCAATATTCAGTTAATTATGAGGAGTTATTTAAAGATTTTAACTAGCGATGCTGATTCAATAGAAATAACTTTTCTCATTTGGCAGGTATTTTTTGTTTTTGTTTCCATGTCAATACCATATGATACAAAACTTTTTGAAGGCAGACTTTACACACTGCCGTAATGGTAAAATTTGACTAATGTTGAAATGAAAAGTACATGAACCTACAACTTACTTTTTTTCAATATGGTGACTGCAACTCATAACTATTTGAACTAAAATAGTTAGTTGTAATCAATATGATCTCTAGGCGTTTTTGTCTGGCTTATCGATTCAATTCTAAAATGCAAAAAAAAAACACAAAAAAATGTTGTGGATAATTGTATGACGTGAAGACAAAGATATCCTCTAATATTTCATAACTCAGAAAATATCATTGTTATCAAAAATGTATAACTTACATATATAATGGTTGTAAATATTGTACATTTTCATATGTCTTGACCATATGGAAGATGAGCTCTACACTCAATATGAAATCAAGAATAAATAAAGATTATTATTATCATACAAACTAACACTAAATTCATATCCATTACAATGGTGGCCTTTGACACAAGTATCAAACAGAACTAAATTCAAGCAAAACATCTCCATACTAAATTGGTCATTCCAATAAAAATTTTAAATGATTCATGATGAATTGAATGCATGCATAGCAGGACAAGATTCTATTACAGATGGATGGACGGACGGACAGATGGATGGACAGATGGACAGACGGATGGATGGACAGTCAGACCTACATATGAAATTTGAAAATTGATACTCCTTTATAGTTTTGAAAGAGAAAATGAGAAAATATTTCACATCAAAACATTTGTTTAGTATCATTTTGGCTATATCAATATAGTTGTACATTTATATCCTTTACAAAGACATTGTCCATTATCACAAGGTAAGTACATACATTTTCTATTGCGTCATCAGAGAAGTAAAATTCAGTTTTAATTTTTTTCTTTAGTTATTGCAACAGTTATTGGGAAAAACAGTCAATCCATAAAATATCAGTGGACAGCAAATGCTATCATCATACAGTGTAATTGATGCTTGACTAGTTTTATATGTTGACCAATTCTGAAGCAATTTTTGGCAAAGTTTCAACATCATCTCTTCTTAGTTCGTTTGATAAAATTGAGGTTTTTGTAGTAAAACCAATGTTTATGATATAATACTCACCACCATATAGACAATAGCGTATTCCCACCGGCAGTCCATAATTTACATAACAAAAAGGAAATAAATATCCCGTGAGAGGACCCTTAATGCTTGGTACGAACGCACCGCGCATGACCCAAAACCTCACTTCCTCACCCAAACAAATTGGATGAGAAGACAAGGGGAGGAGGGAGGGACCTCCAATATATGGTGGTGAGTATTATATCATAAACATTGGTTTTACTACAAAAACCTCAAGTTTATTTCAATAATACCTCACCACCATATAGACAATAGTGAATTTGTCTTACCGTAGAGGAGTCTTCGCAGACAATCACTAATCGTAGCAAAAAACAGCATAAAAAAACCCATAAGGGTAAAGGATATTTACAATTAAAACTCTAAATATCCTTCTGAGCTGCAAGGTAGCCTTCCTAAGAATTGACTGGGGGACATGTGACTGTCTGAGCAGTGACAAGAGGACCCAGAGAGTACAACCCATCTGCATGGAAGGAAAGCGACTGAAGGTAAAAATCAGCAAAGGTGTTACGGCCTCGCCAGAAGGCTGACGCCATGATATCCTCGAATGAGGCACCATTGAAAAGGGCCCAAGATGCTGAAAGAGCTCTAACCTCATGTGCCCTCACTCTAACCTTGTCAGAAGTGTCAGCACTAGACCCCTCATAAGCAGTCCTGATAGTGTCACAAATCCACCTGGAAATAGTCTGAGCAGAGATATCAGTCTGCCTTGATTTAATGGGCAAGAACAGACGGGATCTAGACTCCCGCCGCCCCCCTTGGTTTTATCGAGGTAATACCTCAAAGCCCTACAAGGACAGAGCAACAAATTCTGATTCTCAGCACCAGAGACCTCCTTTAAGGCAGGAATCTTGATAGGCTCTGGTGAAAAATTAGGAACCTGATTCTTTGCCAAAAAAGAAGGGTCAGTAAGAAGGGTAACCGAGGAATAGTCCCGAGACCACATGAGACAAGAACGAGAAGAGGATAGAACATGGATTTCACTTCTCCGTCTCCCAGAAGCCAACGCTATCAAAAAAACTGTCTTCCAAGAGAGAAACTTGGAAGGAGCAGAACCCAAGGGCTCATAAGGAGGCTTAGTAAGAGAACCTAAGACCAAAACCAAATCTCACTGTGGCATCAGCAGTCTAACCCGAGGCTTCTCCAAAGAGAAGGATCTGAGAAGATTGGACAAGGAGGAACAAATTCCGATATCTGAACGACCACGGTAAGAAAAAACATTGGCAATGGCAGAACGATAGCCACGTATAGTGCCTGGAGTTAATTTCTTAACTTTAAAAAGATAAAGGAAAAACTCAGCTGTTGATTGAATAGAGGCACAGAGTGGATCAATCTTCCTGCTGTGACACCAATCACAGAAGGCTGACCATCTGGATTGGTAGACGGCAGATGAGGAAGATCATATTGATCTGGTGATGCCATCTGTAACCTCTTGAGAAAAGCCTGCCTGGAGGAGGGAGACCGAGATAGCCTCCACGCGTGAAGGTGGAGGCGCTCTGGGTTCTGATAGAACTGTCTGGATTTGGGTTGACTGAGAAGATTCCATTTGGGAGGGATAGCCAATGGAAGATCTATCAATAAGTCCAGAAGAGCAGGAAACCAGGGCTGTCTGAGCCACAGAGGTGCTATCAGAAGAACTGAGCAGTCGTGCTCCCTGACCTTCTGCTGCACCCTGCCCAACAGATTGAAGGGAGGAAAAGCATAGGCCAGGAGACCGTCCCAGCTTAGGGACAGAGCATCTACTGCCCATGCCACAGGATCTGGGACAGGAGACACAAACGTCTGAATTTGAAAATTCAGAGCTGTGGCAAACAGATCCACTAGGGGAGTCTCCCACACCATACAAATGGCTCTGAAAATTGACCTGTTCAAAGTCCATTCTGTGGTAATTGGAATCCGAGACCTGGAGAGGGTGTCTGCTAACACATTGAGATGACCTGGAAGATGTCTCACTGTTAGGGAAAGCCCCATGGAATGACACAGGAGCAGGACCTGACAAGCGAGATCAAATTTTGTGAGACCTTGTCCCTCCCTGACTCTCCAGATAAGCTACTACTGTGGCATTGTCTGTAGCCAGACAGATGGACTGATCCTGAAGCAACAGACGCAGAGACTGAATAGCCAGCAGAACTGCCCTCATCTCCAGCACATTGATATGCTCCTGGAGTTGATCTCCCTGCCAGACACCCGAACGACAATGACCGTCGAGGTAGGCCCCCCAACCCATCACAGATGCGTCCGTATACAGGGAAGCTGTAGGGGGTGATCTCCGAAGAGAGACGCCCCTCAGGACATTGCTCTCCAAGGCCCACCACATTGCTGACGCCTTCACTGAATTGTCCAAGGAAATGTGAACATCCCACTGAGAGGCCGGTTTCCATTTGGACAGTAGGTACATCTGAAGAGGTCGAATATGGAGCCGACCCAGAGGGACAACATCCGAAAGGGAGTTGAGAAATCCGAGAAGCCTCCGAAACCACCTGAACTGAATAGAGTCCAAACTGTTGAGCAGAAGAACCAATTCCTTGGCCTTCTGGAACTTGGACTGAGGTGGAACAACGAAGCCGAGATCCGTAAGGAAACGGTTTCCCAGGAACACAAAGTCCTGTGAGGGTAAAACCTCGGATTTCTCTCGAGAAGGGATAAAGCCCAGGCGAAGAAGGGTAGTCAAGACTGACCTGATGCTGCAACTCGGAGACTCTGGATCTAGATGCAGCATCAGGGAGTCGTCGAAATAAATATGGATATCTACCCCGCGACTGTGTAAATAGCCCACAACCACCTGAAGCAGCTTGGTAAAAACCAAGGGGGCCGTGGTAAGACCAAAGGGCATGGCCCTGAACTAGAACACTCTGCCCTGAGATCTAAATCTCAGGAATTTCCTGGCCGATTTCTTTATCGGAATGTGGAAATAAGCGTCCTTGAGGTCTATAGAGGTTGCCCACATGCCTGGTGCAACTGACGCCAGAATGCCTCGAGGAGTCTCCATTTTGAAATGTGGAGAGTCCACATACCTGTTGAAGGCATTGAGGTCTATGATTGGACGCCAGACACCAGATTTCTTCTTGAGAAGAAACATTCGGGAGTAAAAGCCTGGTGTCCAGAGAGACCTCGGGAGCTCCTCTTTGGCACCCTTTGCCAACATGCAGTCAACCTCGTCTAGGAGGGCCTGAGCCTTTCCTACATCGCCGGGAAGGGGAAAGAAAACAGGATCTGCCGATAGAGGGGGATCCTTTACAAGAGGGATACCCAGACCCTTAAACACCACCGAAATTGCCCACTTGTCCTCGGTAAGCTGCTGCCAATCCGGCAGAAAATGAGATAGGCGACCCCCAACGGGAATATCTGGCCTTGGGAGCTCGAGACCTTCCCATAGATCGTCTATACGACAGGACAAGGGGCAGGGAGGAACCGAGGGACTGAAAGAGTCAGGAACTCTGCCCCTTCTTACCTGCATTCTGCTTGCCTCCCCTTCCTCCCTTGTGACCCGGACCACCCTGTCCCCGAGAAGAGTGCCCCCCTCGACTGAGCCTGAGGCTGAGCCGTCTTAGGGCCCTTCTTAGGTTTGCCTGGGCGCTGCACCCGTCCAGGCTTAGGCTTAGCCCTAAGTTTCTCCAACCGAGCTGAAGCCGACTTGTCATTGTTGACTCTGTCCATGACAGAGGAGAGAACCCCTCCGAACATTTCAGAGCCTGACAGGGGAGCAGTCATGAGATCCAATATAAAAGGCTTTCCAATAGCTAGTCTTGGCTTCAAGACTGAAGCAAGACAAGCCAGGATGAAATCCGTCAAAACGGCCAGAATGAGCACAGTCCCATCCATGTGGGCCCGGTTCATAGCCTTGCTGAGTTCAGCCAAGAGCTTAGTCTTGTCAGGTAGACTCTGCTCTGAACGAGAAGAAGCTTCAAACAAAGCAGAGGAAAAAGAATCTGCATAAGCCAGCACGTGAATGGCAAGGCGAAGCAGTCTTTCCATCCGACTATGCTCTTTGGGAGACAAATGAATCATGTCATTTGATCTTCCAGGCCAGCAGTGGTCCAAAACGAGGTTCACCTTGGCTGGATTAGATTCTATTGAGGGGTCGTGAACTGCATATCGAGAAGGACTGAACCCCTCAATATCATTCACCCCTAAAAGCAAACCGGAAAGATCCTGCTTCCTATTAGCAGAACCTTTGGCTTGAAGAACCTTCTGAATCTGGGCCAATGCTGAGGAAACCATAGTACCCTCCGCCAATGACCTACCTGATGCCCTAACCTCAGGTTCTGAGGGAAGAATGGCACTTTAAGTAGAAGTCCTCTCTGGAAGACCCGAGGCGTGAAGCAACCTCCAAACGCAGACTGCGGAAGGAATCCAGTTTCCTCTCAGCCTGGAAAGCTGCAAGGACTGACTCAGTGTCAGGAGAGTCCACCTCGGATTCTGAAGACTTCTGACAGGAACCCTCAACTTGCACTGCTGGGAGCCAAGAGCGAGTCTCCGCGTCAACATCAGACCCAGCATCAAGTGACAGAGTGTCCCCATCACCAGGTAAGGCTTGCTGACCCACAACCTCAGCCTCTGACTCCTCACCATCCATGTCCTCAGACTCATCATGATCAGACTGAGGGCACTGGCCTGAACTGGAGACAGACCTAGTCACAGACTGGTCCGGAGTCTCCAATCTTCTAACCTTAGAGGCAGAAGAAAGGCCAGCACTAAGATTAGAAAAGTTGACCTTACGCTTAGACCTATGGGAAAGCGAGGGCTTATGGATGTCAGCCAAAATCTTTGAGGGATGGTTAACCCTCTTAGATTTGTGTTGGCGAGAGCGAGAAGGAGGGGGACCCGACTCAACACCAGGCTGGTGACAGAAGGCTGAGGTACCCCAAGGTTGGCCTGAGTAACCAAAAGGGGTCTGACCATACCCAGAGTATGGAAATCCCAAAGGCTGGGAAGGGCCCCAGTATTGGCCATAGGGGGGGGGGGGGGGCAACAAACCGGAACCCACAGGACCAGGAAATGAATTGCTCCCTACTGGAGACATGCCTGGCAAGTATGGCCGATAATGGCCAACACTGTCAGGAGACTGCATATGACCACCAAACCTGGGTGCAGACTGAGGAAAGGGGTAAGGTGGGGGGTGCACAGGAGCTCCCAAAAACCCCACTGAGCCAGGAGCTCTAACTGGTGGAGGACCAGATAGAGGTAAGGTAGACTGAGGAACCGAAGGGTGCAATACCCTGGAACCAAACCCAGATAGTGGGTAATCAACCCCAAACCAGGAAGTGAAACCCAGTGCAGCCTCTCCAGTAAAACTGTTGTAACTGGCAGTGCCAGCCGGCCGACTGTCAGTGGGTACGCCGGCACCCCTCAATGGGGCACGGGTCGCATGACTGGCCTGTTCCGTGGCCATTGCGCTAACGGAGATGGTACCCAGACACTCGCTCCCTTCGACTTCCAGGGAAATTCCCGGGTGAGCGCCCTTCTGGAGCACGATAGTGCCAAAGAGGACCTATCAACCCAGGTGGAAGGCTGAAGCTCCACTCTGTGCTTTAGGGTTTACCCTTTTTACGAGGATTGTCCCACATGACTGCAATCTCCCCATCATGACTGCAATCTTCCTAAAGAGTTTTAGAAGCACTAACCCTCTTACCTGCCATACTGCTCGGTGGGCAGCGACCAGCAATGCACGAGGAAAGGAAAAAATTATAGAGTGAAAAACACCGATAAATAAAGGCAATGAAAGAAAGTACAAATGTAACAGATGACACAAAAATAGTTGACAGCAGTTGGGATATTGGATAGCAGTCATTTTCAGCAATAAACAGTACTTTTCGGGTCCGTTTTCGGTTGCAGCAAAGGAATTCAGAAGGCAACGATATCGACTTTCAGACAGTTGATTTGTAAGTCAAGAATCATAAGAAATAGATGAAACTTCATTTGTATATTTCAAACAGGATTATGAAATACATATAGATAGTATCCTACAAAAACGTGTTATCATTCTGCTCCATTTTCCCATTAATGATGTTCTTTTCGTCAACGGACGCAGCGCCGCTATTTGCGTATGACGTGACCGAGTGAAAAAAAAAAACGATTTTACATGTTAAACAATCAATGTTCACTTTTGATATATGTTGGATGTATTATTTATGTGCTAAATCAGTGATGTAATGGTCCTTTTCGTGGAGAAAATCTCCCAAACCACTCCTTTTCGTCATATCTACATTTACCTGGAATGAAGGATATGTCGTACCAGGAAAGGCTACAGAAGCTAAATCTTCCAACTTTAACTTACAGAAGGCTTAGAGGGGATATGACAGTGTACGCGAAAAGTGTTTGGTGCCCATAGGACATTCGGTCAGGCAAAATTGTATGCTACATAGGACCGAACCAGATTCTGTCTGACCGAAAAAAAAATGCAAGATTTTTTGACTGATGGACAGACAACTGACATGCAGACAGACAGATGAAGGACCCATTAATCCCTCAGCATTTTTCAGCTAAGAGCATGTACCATGAAATAAGAAAACAGTGATACACAATATCTTATTTATTCCAATTAATCTCTTGAAAACTCGTCAACTAATCTCCAATTTAGTTCTTCAGATATGAAGTCATCACATGCATCATCATCCTTCTCTCCATAGATAGAGTTAATAGCATCAGTAAGCTCTCCTTCATGATCTGTCTCCTCATCACTGACATCTACATCCTCTGTTTCCTCAACTCCCTCATTCTCTGTCTCCTCCTCAACCATCTCAATGTCATTGTCTGCTGTCGCTGTCTTCCTGGCCCTTTTCTAAGTTAGCCGCCGCTTTGTTATTGGCTTTGACTGTATCAACAAGATATCAAAGTTAAGATTATGAATGCAACAACTAATAAAACAAATACAGAATTGTACCAGGATGACTTTGTGTGGTGTATTTTACTTTAACAGCAGTATTTCAGCTATATTAATGCTTATGCCTACTGTTACAGTCTTCCAGTCCACTTGAATAACTTGGGTAAGCCAGCTTTGTTAGTAGTTTTAGAATACATATTCTTGTCTTTGATTGATGGCAAAAGTTAATAAGTGAGAGGTGAAAACAAAACTGTCTTTACCAGCCAGACATCCACAGATTGCTGAGGGTCATACGTCTCCACTGGTGCACCCATCAGCTTCACCATCAAAAGGTCATTTAGAGTTCCTGTGCGCAATTTGTACCGCCGTGATGTTTTGACTAGCTTCATTTGCGAGAACGTCGTCTCGCACTGTACACTTGTGGTGGGTATGCTGAGGAGCAAATCAACGATAACCATCATCACAGGAAAGCTGTCATCGTAAACTTCCTGCCAAGTCTTCGACCTCAGGTTGCTGCCATGCCTGTTATGATAAATATAAAAATATATCAAATGCCAATCACTTACTTGCAACTACATTTCCTCATATGATATTGAAAAGCATATATCAGAAATGTGACAAAAACAAATATAAATTTTTGAATTGTGTCATTGCCTACCTTTCATACAAAACCCTCTTTAGAGTTTCCCATTCTCCAATAGCCTCCTTCAATAAGTCTGGGTTGGTATCGTCAAGGAATGGGCGGCAATGTGGCATTAAGGTCTCACGAAAATGGTTCACAACCAAAGTTACCTCTCTTCTGCCAAAGACTTGATGTGAAAATGAAAAAAAGACAAATCAGCAAAGGGATGTTACATGTAACTGAATTGGACAAAAACCAGAGGAAATTGGTATGGGCATTCATATCTGTAGAAACTGATAACAGCATTATATGAGATAGATAGAAAAGATCAGAATTGTAAGATACAATGATTGTTATGTATCATTGTTGCATGGATGGGAGGAATTTT